TTAAATAGGAAAAATATAGAAACTCTTTGGTCATTTTTGAGCAAGAAATGATAACGGTCTAATCAGATTCAATGATCTATGCTAAGCTAAGCTAAAAGTGCTACCGCCAGACCCGGAGATCGACTGAATGGATTCGAAAATGGTAAAACTCAACTGTTTAACTTCAAAAATAGTGGAGTGTTCCTTTAAAAAAATTAATTATACATTTTGCAATAATAATAATAATATTATACACAGTTTAAAAGTTTTGGTCATTAAGTTAAATACTTTTATTCAGCAAGGACACATGCATTTGATCAAAAGTGATAGTAAAGACATTGATAATATTACAAAAGATTCTTGAAAAGAATGCAAAAGTATTCTGGAAAAAAACATTTAACATTGATAAATGTTTCTAGAGCAGCATATCAGCATATTAGAATGATTTCTGAAGGATCATGTGACACTGAAGACTGGAGTAATGATGTTGACAATTCAGCTTTGATCACAGGAAAAACTTACATTTTAAAATGCATTCAAATAAAAAAGGTTATTTTAAACTAATAAATCAATTTCAGTTTTTACTTCATTTTTGATCAAATAAATACAGCCTTGGGCTTGCAGACTTCTTTTAAAAACAAAAATCTTACTGACCTTAAACTTTTGAATGGTAACAAACCAGGCTCTTACCAGACTGAGACTCTCCTCCCAAGACTGGCTCATCTGCATGGCTGCCTGCACCTCTCTAGATCAATTGACATTATGGGGGGAAAATAAATACAGACGGGAAAAAATTTATATATGTGTCACTAAACACTGACATTATTCCCTTCAACCAATGACTAGAGTCAAGCAGTCTAATAGAAGACCTCATTTCAGTGTGCACAGTACATGTCAATTATTGTTATGAACACTGGAAACAGACAAAACCTGCTGTCAGCAACTGATAAATGAGAAACCAATATCCTGGGGGTTCAGCAGATGTGAGCTCTTACCGTTCATGAGCAGTTTCACGGTTCATCACATCAACACCCTCTTCCTACAAATAAACAAACACAAAGAATGCCCATATGAGCAAATATCACCAACACCAAGTCACTTTTTGTACATATGCCATGTTGGAGTGCAGTACTACCAACTAGTCAATCTGAAAGACAGGTGGTTTGCGAGAACTCCAAAATGTAATTTTAGCATGTACTTTTAAGCACGCACTCCCATAAGCACCTTTATAGGAGTAGTCTGACATGCTATGAAGATCACAGACTAAGAAATGACATATTTCAAGGTAAACTGAAGCACACTTTGTACCTGTTTGATCCTCTGCAGTCTTGTGCTAGGAACACGTACTGGCGAAGATGGAACCTAAAAAGCATGAACATTCAATAAACAAAATGCATAAAAAAAAAAAAAAAAAGCCAATTCGCACATTAACATTGCATTCTGCAACTCTTTACATACCACACTGGGTCGAACAACAGTAGTACTGTTTCTTCTGCTGCGGAGAACCTCTCTCTGGAACACCTGTGAAGCATCACTGGAGAAAGAAAAGACCTTTTCAACATCAGCGTGTACTAAAAACTATTCATTTAAACTTTAAAGTCATGATAAAACTGAATAAGTAGCAACAGATCCTTTCTTCTGTATTGCGACGTATATCCGGGTGTAACAGATTGCGGAAAAAAATGTAGGGTGGGGATTTGGTTCAATCCAAGAGGTGTTGATTGGATTCTGAGATGTGGGTTTAAATGAAAAAAATTATTGGAGAAGTCCTGCATGCATCACCAGAGAGAAGTCTGGCGTGTCACCGGAAGGTCTAGTTATGACGCTTTAATTAAACAAAATGAGGTCAAAACATGGTTTAAAAATGTAAACCTGTACGAATTAGTCACAATAAGATTTAAAACATGCATTTAGAGTGAATATTGGCTGTTAAACCATTGCAATCCTAATGTGTGAGTTTTATACTACCAACACAGTCTGTTCTTCAGAGACTGGTGGCCCTGATGACTCGAAGCATGTTATTCTAGCATGGCTTCATGTCTCTACTCTCCATGAGTGAGAGAGTAACCACAAAAGTCATGCATGGTGTCTCAACACTTAGTAAGCTATACAGCATTTGTAGATATCAAACGTGTGTAGGAACTCACCATCAAGGCTGGGAACATGATGCCCCAAAATTTAATGTTTCATCCCTGTTTGCAAACCTATATCCTAAATAGCTAACACCAAAATGAAAATTTACTCAGCCTCTGGCCATCAAAGAAGTAGATGAGTTTGCTTCTGCATCTGAACAGATTTGGAGAAATTTACATCAATTGCTCACCAATGAATCCTCTGTAGTGAATGAGTACCATCATAAACAAATGGTTTGAAGTTAAAAACATCTTAAATGATGGATTTATTAGAAAAACGCAGGTTTTCACATCACAAGACATTCACTGGTGGACTGGAGTTGTGTGGCTTATTGTGATGTTTTTATCAGCTGTTTGGACTCATTCTCACGGCACCCATTCGCTGCAGAGGATCCATTGGTGATCAAGCGATGTAATGCTACATTTCTCCAAATATGTTCTGATGGAACAACAAACTCACCTACATCTCGGATGGCCTCAGGGTGAGCACAATAATCTTTAAGCTAAAATCTGTGGTTTCCAGCTGGTTCAAGATGGTAAACCAGCTACCAGGTTGCAGAAACTAGCTTGACCACTTTAAACTGGTATGGCCAGTTTGGACCAATTAAAAACCAGTCAGCTACCAGCTTAGGCTGGATCTTTCAGCATGATCAAGTAGGCAGCTCACCAGATTGAAAGACACTTCCAATAATATACCAACGTAATACATTTACTGGTCTAAACATCACACAATATGCTATCAGTCGTCACCTCAGGCCGTTTATCATGGGTTCGCTGTTAGATCGTCTCAAGTGCCCATCGCTCTGAACAAGTGACGACGGGATGTCCAGATCCAGCTCCATCTTCTCTTGTGACATGATTCCTTGATTGTTCTTCTTTATTGTCGTTATAAGTATGCCGCAAAAAAAAGCACGCAGGTTGCAAAGCTACATCGTTGAAAGGCACAAAGCAGATCAATGTCACAGTTTACTATGTGCTCATTTTGCAGCCTGTATAGAAAGACCGGGGCTTCTGTCGTTGTTAAGGGTCAATGTAGGTCTCGATCACAGCCTAAGGAAAATATCCGTGGGTTTCTGCGAACCAACATTCCGCTTGATCGATCTGCACCGCGTATCTTTCTAGAAAACTCTTCACTTTCTGGTCCAGACTTGTAGATCCAGCGACTGGTTAGCTTCGAGCTAATATGTGAAAGGGGTTTGGCCCATGCACACCCACTCCTGTGCTGTTAGCTTAGCTTGATGGCGCACAAGCACCTAAAACTGAGCAGCTCCGGTCAGATAATTACAAGTCTAGGAGTGCATGTAGAAAGGAGGGCATGAAAGGCACCAATTCAGAGCAGGAAAAGAGAAGATTAAACCGTGAGCGCAATAATTACAAGAGCTGAAGGCACAACAATGTTCAGCTGGCCATCATCATGTTGCTAACTAGCTTGCTGTTCGTGATGGGTTGCTGGGCAAACGCATGTAACGTTAAATCACTAGACAAACGCGCAGCTCCTCTTCGACATCTTCTGTTTGCCAGTTTGGCGTGTCAGTATCTAGTTGGATGAGTTTGTAACTTAGTTGCGTCAATCATAGGTTAGCATATTCTGTCTATCTATTTTCTGGACGCCACAGCGCACCCAGGGCTCAGCTAAGAGTCCCGCCCCTTCTGTTCCTACCAAACTGACTGACAGCATCGTGAACCAATCAGAAACTCGATAGCCGCCGGCGTGCCTTTTTGAATGGCAACCGTTCGGGGAAATAGCCAATGGAATCACATTTCCTGTAAACTTTTCCTAGGCTCGTCTCATGCACAATGCCGTTCAACGCATGCGCGTTCTCTTTGTTGCTTTGAAATAAACCAAACTCGAAACCTTTTTAAAATTGAGAGATACTTTAAAACTTGTGATATACGTACACCACAGGTAACATTATCAATATGTAACATTTTGGATATTTGACATTTAAAATTCTAGGGTAATAAGAACATTTATGACACTGTATAAAAGTTGTTCACTACTTCCAACTTGTCAAACAAATTCTGTTTACTGAATAACTAAAATGTATAAAATAGCTTTTGATTTATTTAAAAACTAATGACATGAAAACTGACCCCTGACCATACTTGCACCAGTATAATCCACTTTTGGCCTTGGTGTTTTGTTTATCTACCACCAAAATAATGTGATAGAATATTATTTTTTATCTCCTTTTGTACAGTGATTTACACCTGATTTCTCACAGATTTGAAACTTCGGAGAACAAAAAGGTTATTTATACTTTTTCGAATGCAATTAAAATGTAATGCTCAAGTCAAACATAATCTGACCCATAAATATAGTACAGATGAAATGATAACAGAGTTGTCATGAAAAAAATAATTTATAAATAAGAAGGGGGGGGTGTCTCTTTATTTAGGCTAAGCATAAGGACACGGCCATTAAGCTTTACTTATCATTTCCACAAGTCTCAGACCTTAACCTCCATCTATACATGTCCAATGTATATTAAACATCCACCCTAAAACCTAATTTTGCATAAAATGGCTTTGCACAGAAGACACCAGCAATGAGCAACACCAGAGTCACATGTTTCTTTACAGCTCACTGCTAGGCTTCTTGTCTGGCAGCAGACAATGTTTCTTTTCTCTTCTAACGAGAGACACAAGATTTTGAGCCAGGCGACTGCAAGGTCATTACACAGGTCAGGTGATGGTAGCTCCGGCTAATTTTAGTAGATGAAAATCGCCTCTATTAAAACAATAATAACAAAAAATACTATGTAGGAAAAGTTGTATGTTTAAAGATTCAGAACGTTGGGAGCTTAATAAACAAATCAGCAGAAAGAAGACAACAATGGTTGTTGCATTAAGCTTGTATTACTAACAAAACGTGTATGGAGACGATTATGAGGTTGAATTATATGGTTTTTATTAGAATATACCCCATTCAACTCAGAAACTCTGTGTTGAGAGCAAGCTGGCTGCTTCAAAAGGCATGACAACATGCTGAGGGGATACAGTGTGTCTAAGTAGTAAACGTGCCACGACACTGCAGTTGCACTCCTCCTCCGTTACTCTACGGGGGATGTTGTACAGCTCACGCTCCCACAAAGCTTTGCAGGAGACCATACAACGAAATTTGGTGCGTTTTTTTACATTTCGGCGCCATTTTCGAGGTAAGTTTGGATTTTTTGAGGAATTATTTTTCAGGATTTCCCCCCCCCTCCGTGTTCTCACGCTGTCAAGCTGTGTGTTGTTCATTAATTTCTGAAGCGTCTGACCTACCGAGAGAGACGGAGGTGTTTAACGCGCCTCAAGCGTTGAGTCGCCTTCACTACTTTTGAGCCTTTGTTTGAAAACGGTGCCGCGCGGAGAAAAGTATCACACTTTAATGTAACTTGGTCTGCATGCTCATAATCTGAAAGCTGTTTCATTTTGACGCGTGTCAATTAAAAGTTCGCGTTTTTATCATCGGTCGTTTGTATTTAACTCGCATTTCTCAATATATCTTCATAACCAACATCCTCTTTTATTATTAGTACGAAGTTGTCTATTTAGGGAACCTGCATAGTCGCAGCTGAGGAAACACCCCACGGTCAGTTGATACACACTGTATTCGAAGGAAGCCGGCAACTAACATTTAGGTTGGAAATATATATTTGTACTTTTTAATTTTTGATTCCGCACACTTGAAACGGAGGCTATTTCTGTTGTTATATAGAGTTGTAAAAATGCTGAGTAGGCAGCAGTTAACTAGGCATCCAGCTGAATGTGCGTCTCTGGAGTTTTTCTTACCACCTCAGCATGGCCTGTACAAAATATTAAATAAACTATTTCTATAATAATCTTCACATGTTATATTATTACTTTGACTTGCCGTAAATACGCTGAGGATTCAGTTTAGCAAACGTGTAAGTGTGTGTTCAGCTAGTTTTCTTTTTTCAATGTAGCCAGTCAAGTTTTCTATAAATTCCTTATATTTTTATTTTATTGAAATTTTTAATGTACATATTTATTTATTTAAAGAACAAGTAAAGCCTTCTGTACACCAGACCGTGACAGGTATTGAGGATAAGTCTGGTCATGTCTGCCTGGCAAGGGCTTATTTTTTGTTCTTCATTAGTTGCTAACCAACACCTAGGGTACAAACAACACACCAGCGTTTGAAATAATAAATTCCCATTATTTAAGTGCAAATGTATCTTTATTAATACGAAATGAACAGAAACTCTAAAATACTTTTTTATCTGGTGTTTATGCATTTGCAGGTTGTATTTTCATATTTATCATGTTATATAGATCTTTTTAATTACCTAATACAAAGAATCCTGTTTTTTTATTATTATTATTTATTTATTTATAGTTAAGAGAACATTTGATATAAGCTTGAGGCCTATCTTACCACCCGGTTGTTCCTCTCAAACCCATCAGGGGGCGCTCGTCCTCTTAATGACGCGTGGAACTATCGATAACACATATATTTCCATAATTATATAGACAGGTGCGTTGTGATAGCTATGTAATTTTTTTAAATTCTAAAAATATATCTTAACACTAGTTTTATGTAATCCAAGAATTATAATAGGAGGTTTAACCCTTTTAAAAAATAATATGGTCATCACACTTGCAATAACAAGTTGAAGCCATACTGAGAGAAGGAGACTGAACATGTCAGTTGCTCTTTAACAACAATAGCAGCTCGTCTTGCGTTTTTGATTATGGAAATGCTGCTAGAGGAGTTGTGTTTCTGTCTGTTCCACCAGCAACATTTCAGTAACCCAGCAAAAGAGACCTGCAGATCTAAAGGGAATGTACTATAGCAGCACATAAATACTGGAGGTGAATGTGGTGTTATCCAGTATTGTTGTTCTGCTGTAGTAAGACCTGTCAGCGCTTACAGAACCCAAAGAGCCACACCAGATCCTTGGCCGAGAGCGGACCATACCCATGCATTTATGTGATGGAAAACACCACCTGTCTGTACTGTAGATAAACAATACTGTCAAATAAAAGCAGCAGTCAGCTAAGTGATCTTATTTCATTATGCATACCTGGTTCTTCATGTTGTCATTTCTATTGTAAGTGCAAGACGTATGCAGAACAATAGTATGTTTATTCTTATACTATTTATTTCTAAAACATACTACGTGATAATGTGACCTGCTTAACAATGTTGGTCATGACTTTGACAAGAGAAGTAAAGTTAGGAGAACACTTAAAATTCTTTGAATAATTTAATCAAATTTACGATTGACAGGCGGTTGGACAATGGTGAGGTCACTAACATTTTTCATTAATTTTCATACCATATTTATATGGTATCATAACTGGTCATACAAATTACCATATAAGGCACCATAAGATTTCAATCTCATTAATATAATTAGTAACCAAAACTACAGTAAGTGGACACAAATAAATATCTTGACAGGAAAATTAAACAAATACAAATAAAAAAAAATAAATAAGAAAAACAGGGTGATATTTGGCTATAAAATGTCAATAAATTTGAAATGATTGGAAAACCAGGTTGCCCTGGTGCTAAACTACATTCACATGTAAAAGCATTTAACATATATCACAATACTCAATGATTTTAATCAATAATAACAGTGTTCATATTATGGTTGCAAATAGTCTTTGGGGAAACATGAATGTTCTCCTCAAATTCACATATTGTATGTTCACTATTGAATAGCAAAGCAAGACAACCTAAAATCAATATTCTGTTTAATCTATCTAGTCTTAAATCATAAACACCTATTCATAAGGTCTTGCACGAAAAAAAAAAGGTTATAATAAATCAAAGGGAATCTGGCCATTGCATAAATGGTTGTTAAAAACACCCACTGTAACGAAGAGCAGCAGTCTAACCCTGAGACCTCTGTTCTCAGAGACTGAACTGCAAAGTGTTTGTGGTTACTAATGTGTGTGAGATGCCTGTGGAGGTATAAGCTAATGTAAATGTAAGGTGCATTGATTGACAGCACACACCTCACCAGAGACCCTGAGCAAAGGACCTGCTAACCTGCGGTGAGCTGTGCAACTGAAAAAATACAAAATGGATATAAAATAATAATAATAAAAAAAACATCCATTAAAAACAAATTATACACAGTTAGAGGGGGAAGTCCAGGGCTTCTCATGCTTTGTACTTCTCCTTTCCGGTTTCACTGATGACACAGATATGCTGCAAGTCAAAATGAGAGAAGCTGTTAGCAGAAATTGCAGCACAATCAAACATGTGTGTCTTATAATGGACAACTATTTGTATTTAAATTATAAAGGCATTCTAAATGATTAAATGTTGCTACTTACATTTAAATCCCTAAAGTACTCATTGTAGTCAAGTGCATATCCAACCACAAATTTGTCAGGAACCTCAAATCCTACGACTAGAGGATAAAGGGGGGTTAATTAAAAAGTTATTTTGAACAGGCAATTTCTTGGTCGGTAACATATTTTTGAATGAAGTCTCTTATGCTCATCAAGGCTTAAAATACAGTAAAAACGGTAATATTGTGAAATATTACAATTTAAAATAACTATTTTTTTCTATTTTCCTATTTGAATATATTTTTAAAAAGTAATTTTTTTATTTTCAGCAGCCATTACTCTAGTGTCACATGATCCTTCAGAAATCATTCTAATATACTGATTTGCTGCTCAAGAAATATTTCTTATTATTATCAAA